ATTTTTTTTTTTTTTTTTTTTTTTCTTCTTTTTTTTTTTTATTATTTATATTATTATTTATATTATTATTATTATTTATATTATTATTCTTACTATTTATATTATTATTCTTATTTATTATATAAGGAGGCATTAATGGTGTATAGCGACTTGTATCACGAATTAAATGTAATGGATGTGTTAAATTCAATACCTACAAAAGATACCACCAGCAGCAGCAGCAGCAGCAGCAGCAGCAGCAGCAGCAGCAGGAACAGCAGCAACAATAGTTGTAGTATTAGTAGTTGGTTGTTGTTGTTGTTGTGGTTGTGTAGTTGTAAGAGCAGCAGCAGTAGCAGCAGTAATAGTAATAAAAGGAGAAGCAGCAGCAGCAAGAGTAGTTAGGTAATATAGCAGCAACCAGCAACAGCAGCAGCAGCAGCAGCAGCAGCAGCAGCAGCAGTAATTACCTGTAGATCATGATGAATTGCATGCCCAACAAGTATTTTGTCTTTTATTTTTTCTTTAACTAAATTCCTTGCAGCAGTAAATGATATTCCTCTCTGTTCTAAGCATTCCATTGTTAACCCTAATCATAAACCCTAAACCCTAAACCCTAAACTCTAAACCCTAAACCCTAAACCCTAATAAACAATAATAAACAATAATAAACCATCATTCGGTATAATATGGGGGTGTCGAGTTGATGCTGCTGCCTGCTGCTGCTGCTGCTGCTGCTGCTGCGCATGTATTATCAAAGCAGCAAAGACAACTTTTAGGGTTTAAGAAACACACCACACACCTCCCTCTGCTAGGGTTTAGGGTTTAGGGTTTAGGGTTTACCGGTGATATGGGCGCGAAGATCTGTAACAGGGAGTTGGGGTTTAACATATTCATTAATTAACACTCTTCCTTCTTCATCTACCAGTCCTACTTGAGCTGCACACAAACCCTAAACCCTAAACCCTAAACCCTAAACCCTCCATGGGTTTTCTGTTAGCACAGGCCTTCCTTCGTGTAAAGGGTTTCTGCTTACGATCTAGGGTTTTGCTTTTAGCTTGAGGGTTTAGGGTTTAGCTTTAGGGTTTAGTGGATAAATGTTTATAGTTTAGCCTTTTGAGGATAAGGGTTTAGGGTTTAGGGTTTAGGGTTTACCTAAGATGGAAATTCTTCCATCTTCTCCACATCCAACCATCTCGCAATCGAGGGCGACTGCCTCAGGAAATTTTGCTGCTGCTGCTGCTCCTCCTGCTGCTGCTGCTCTTGCTGCTGCGCCTTTGTGTGCTGTTGCTGCTATTGCTGCTGCTGGAGCTGCCTTTGTTGCTGCGGTTCCTCCTGCACATCCGTTTGGTGCATTTTCTGCTGCTCCTCCTGCTGCTGCTGCTATTGTTCTTGTTGCTGCTGTTGTTGTTGCTGTTGCTGTTGCTGCTGCTGCTTCTGCTGCGTCTATGTTGCTGTTCTGCCCAGCAGACTTCTTTATGGCAGAAAAAACAGAATTTAAGCCGAGTTTCCTCTTGTTCTTCCCCATTGCTGCTGCTGCTGTTGCTGCTGCTGTTGCTGCTGTTGCTGCTGCTGCTGCTGCTACAGTTGCAGCTGTGGCTGCTGCTCTTGTTGTGCAGCTGGTGTTCTCCTGAGCAAGTAACTGCGTCCCTTCAAACCCTAAACCCTAAGCCCTAAACCCTCACAACTGCCTCCATGGAGGTGGAGGGATCGATACTTTCGTTGAGCATTTAGGGTTTAGCATCTATTGTTTTTAGGGTTTAGGGTTGGATACCCGTAAGGATCGGAAATCAGGAAGTTGAAAGGTTCAGGGTTTAGGGTTTAGGGTTTAGTGGCAAGGGTTTAGGGTTTAGGGTTTAGCGCCTTAAAAATTGATGTAAAAAGGATTAAAAAAATTAAATTAGGTGTTAAAGAATATTTAAGTGTCAATACTCCATCATAACTTCTGTAGAGACGGTAGTGTTTAGGGTTTAGGGTTTAGGGTTTAGGGCTTGGAGCAGGTTTCATCCGGATCTGTCTTCCATTAGAAACATTCCTTACAGGGTTTAGGGTTTAGGGTTTATATTTTTATTCAGTTTGCTTTCTTGACGAATAACACTCCCTAAGCATATAACCCTAAACCCTGAACCCTAAACCGAGACAACACTGTACCTGGCGCCTCGAGGGTTTAGGGTTTTATAAGCGAATTATGCATACTAGAGTTGCTAAACCCTAAACCCTAAACCACAATTAAAAGCATATTGTTTATATTATGTAGTATAAACCTCACCTAAACCCTTAACCCTAAACCCTAAATACTTGACCCACAACAGCTACCCCATAGGGTCGATGCCTCAAACGCTAGAATCTAAACCCTAAACCCTAAACCCTAAACCCTAGTGGATTCTGCACCAAAGTATACGTCATTTAACGTTCAAGGGTTTGTTGGTTTAGAATGTAGACGGCTAAATAATAAGGGTTTAGGGTTTAGGGTTTGATTTGCCGGACCCTGTAATACTAAACCCTCGAACATCTGCCCTTTTGTGCATGCATCTGTATGGACTACAGCAGCAATTGCAGCAGCAGCAGCAGCAATTGCAGCAGCGGCACATGTAGCAGGAATAATGCACTCGTAGTAGTAACAGCAGGAGCAACCGCAGCAGCAGTTGCTGCTGTTGCTCCTCTTGCAGTAGCAGCAGCAGCTGAAGCAGCAAGGGAGTCGCAATCATAATAGTAATAATAGTAGTGGTAATAGCAGCAGCAGCTGCTGCTGCTGCTTCTGCAGCAGAAGCAGGAACAATAGCAGCAGCAGCAACACCACCAGCAGAAGCAGCACCCATACTACCAGCAAGAGCAGCAGCAATAGCAGCAGCAGCAGCAGCAGCAACCGTGTGAGGATTTTGCTGTCTGTTGCTTATAATTGAGTTATTGCAACATATATAATAACACAAGAAAACCCTAAACCCTAAACCCTTAAGATAGACAACAACATGTTCAGCATTTACTGGGGTTTTCCTTGCGGGGGGATCAGGGTTTAGGAGAATAAATTAGGGTTTAGAGAGATTAATTAGGGTTTAGAAGGATGGATTAGGGTTTAGAAATATAAATTAGGGTTTTGACGGTTAAATTAGGGTTTAGAGAGATGGATTGGGGTTTACAGAACTGTCTTGGAATGTGGCGGGTTGAATTAGGGTTTACAGAGTTGAATTAGGGTTTGTATAGTTGAATTAGGGTTTAGGCAGTTCAATTAGGGTTTAGGCAGTTTAATTAGGGTTTGCAAAGTTCGCTTAGGGTTTAAGGAGATGAATTAAGACGAGGACAACTGCATTAGTGTTTAGAGGATTGAACTAGGGTTTATAGTTGAATTAGGGTTTAGATGATTAAATTAGGGTTTATCTACTGGTGCTAGGGTTTGAGCATTAAAAGGGTTTACTGATTTACAAGTATAAGTGAGCATACCTCTACTTGACTGTGAGGGTTTACCATTAGGGCAGAAGGGTTTGGTGTTTAGTGTTTAGGGTTCATGCATCGGAAGGGTTTAGGGTTTAGGGCTTGGAGCAGGGTTTGTGGTTTAGCAGTTCATTCTAGAATGTGGCTATCGAGAGGGTTTAGGGTTTAGGGTTTAGGGTTTTTAAGGCTATGCTGTACATAGTACTAGGGTGTGTGTTAATGGAGGTTGGGGGTAGGTAGGGTTTAGGGTTTACGGTGGTTTATACTTTATATATGAAGTTAAGCCCCTCCTAATTATCTAAGCCTGCTAAATCGTAAACCCTAAACCCTAAACCCTAGGATCGGTATAATCTTACACCCTTGCTGTGTTGTGTGAAGACACGGCAGGATGGGGCTGTGTTACTCTCGTGGGGTTTAGGGTTTAGGGTTTAGGGTTTATGATTTGTGAGTTTCATTAAGTGTATGATTTTAATTTATCATCATTATCCGATTTTTTTCCCCCAGACCCTAAACCCTAAACCCTAAACCCTAAACCCTCGCGGGGATGCCGGCACGTCCTCGTGGGGTTTCGGCTGTCGGGCCTTCTTCTTCTTCTTCTTCTTCTTTATCATTGAAGAAAAACAAGAAAAACCCTAAAAGGGTTTTAAAGGCAGCAGAAGAAGAAGCAGCGAATGCATGCATTAAGCAAACCCTAAAACGTCTTCCTCTCTTACCAGGAGGGTTTTCATCATTTACACTCAGGCCTAAACCCCAGCAAACCCTAAACCCTAATCAGGGTTCGTCTAACAAGGGTACTCCATCTTCAAATCAACAGCAAAGACAACCCCAAGAGGGGCTTCGAGAGGCAGGAGGGGCCCCCCCAGCTAGCTCTCCAGGGGGCCCCCCGGCTACCCAGGAGGGGGGCCCCCCAGCTGGTTCGTCAGAGGCCCCCCCAACTGGCTCACCAGGAGCTGCCCCAGCTACCCAAGATGGGGGCCCCCAAGCTAAGCAAGAGGGAGGGGCCCCAGCTACCCAAGACGGGGGGGCCCCCAGTGTATTAGGGTCTTCTGAGTTTGTAGTGTTTGAACGTAGTTATGAGGAGTTGAGTAAGGAGGGTTTAGATGAGGGTTTAGGGTTTGGGGTTTCCATATTAGAGGGTTTATTTCTTCTTGTTAAGAATAATATGGAGGATTTATACAATAAAAGTAATTTTATGCAAAAAGGATGGAGAGATGAGACAAAAAGAAGCGAACTTTTTAATAAACATGCACACTTCTGGATTGTATTCCAATCTAATAAAAATACCTGTAAGGGTTTAGGGTTTAGGGTTTGCTGTCTAGGGTTTAGGGTTTGGGGATCAGGGGGGGTTAGGGTTTAGGGTTTGGTGGTTAGGGGGGTTATGGTTTAGGGTTTGGGGATTAGGGTTTAGGGTTCCTGGGTTTGGCAGCTAGGGTTTAGGGTTCCTGGCTTGGGGGATATGGTCTAAGGTTTCTGGGTTTGGGGTTTAGGGTCTGGGGGTTAGGGTTAAGGGTTTAGGGTTTAGGGTTTGCGTGCAGTATCGGAGGCAGCAAAAGATCCTCTTGCAGCTTTTCTTCATTTTCGATTCGAAGTAGAAGAAAGACAGCCCGTTGTATACCTCTACGAACTCCAAATCAAGGTAGGGTTTAGGGTTTAGGGTTTAGGGTTTACGATAAAAGGCGGCGAGTGTTGATAGGGTGTGTGCCAAGGGGGTTTAGGGTTTAGAGTATAGAGGGTTTTAAGCCGAGGGTTTGTGTTTTTCATGGTTAATGTTCAATTAGGAGTGTATCTATTTCTATTGTTTAGGGTTTAGGGTTTTAGGGTTTAGGGTTTAGGGTTTAGGGTTTAGGGTTTGTGTATAGGAGGAGTATAGATGTCGATCTATAGGGCGTCGTCTTCTTTTTATGTTGGAAATTTTTATTCGAAATTTAAATAAAGAATTAAATTATTTAAGAATTAATGCTGCAAATAAACAGCTTATAGAGCTACCTGCTGCTGCCTATACAGCTGAAGAAAATAATGTGTACAGTATTAAGATGTAATAATCGTGCTGTTTCTTTTTATAAAAATATCTGCAGATACACCTCAGATGAATCTTGTCCTTATTGGCTGCTGCAGCAGCACATGCAGCAGCAGCAGCAGCAACTTGTTGCTGCAGACAGCAGCAGCGAAGAAGAAGAACCTGAATATGAAATACTTAAGAAGGAAATCATTCCGTAGATGCAGCAGCAACAGCAGCAGCAGCAACAGCAGCAGCAGCAACTGCAGCAGCAGCAACTGCAGCAGCGGCAACAGCAACAGTAGCAGCAACAGCCATACCAACAGCAGCAGCAGCAAAACTTGCTGCTGTGGCAGCAGCAAGTAGTACTGCTGCTGCTGCTGCTGCTGCTGGGTGCATCCTGAACTCTAGGGTTTAGGGTTTAGGGTTTATTGACTTCCGTTGTTCCTTTAACTTTCCCGCAACTAATAATAATCTATTTCTAGGGTTTAGGGTTTAGGGTTTATGCAGCATCAAGCACCCACGAGGTGTGTAGGGCTGAATCAAGCATGCAAGAATTAGGGTTTAGTGTTTACAGATTAGGGTTTAGGGTTTGGAGGCGGCTACCAGTAAGAAGTTAAATGAGGGTCTAGGGTTGCCAAACCCTAAACCCTTAACCTGTGTGTTGCGGAATTCAGAGGACAATACGAGGGTTTAGATAAACCCTCAGTGATGAAAACTCTAAACCCTTACTAGGGTTTAGGGTTTACGGTCTAGGGTCTAGGGTTTAGGGTTTAGCCAGACCCCCAAATTCAAAAAAAAAAAAAAAAAAACATACTCGAGGGTTTAGGTCCTAGGGTTTGCACAAACCCTAAACCCTAGGAACTCCTAAACCCCCCACAATATTTATAAACAAAATATTTAACAGCAGCAGCAAATGCTGCAGCACTTGCTGCTGCTCTGGCTAGCTCCTGATGCTGCTGCTGCTGCTGCAGTTGCTGCTGCTGCTGCTGCTCAGAAGGCCGGCGTATAGCTGTAGGATATAAGAAGGCGGCTACCAACAGCGAACTTCTGCAGCAAACAAAAATAAGGGTTTAGGGTTTAGGGTTTAGAATTGGGGTTTACGGATAGGGTTTAGGACCCAGAGTTTGAATTTTTTTAGGGTTTTGGGTATTGTTTGGGATTAGGGTTTAGGGTTTAGTTAGGGTTTAGGGTTTAGGGTTTAGGGTTTGTACTTGAAATAAGTCAGCAATATATTCATTAGGTTGGGGCTTAAAAGAACTATTCAGATAAACATGCTGCATGCAGCACACACATACTCTCAATTGCTGCTGCTGCTGCTGCAGCAGCGACGAGCAGCAGCAACAGCAACAGCAGCAACAACACCAGCAGCAGCAACAGCAACAGCAGCAACAACACCAGCAGCAGCAACAGCAACAGCACCCAAGACAGCAACCCAAGCAACAACAGCAGCACCAAAATCAGCAACCCCAGCAGCAGCAGCAACAGCAGCAGCAACAGCAGCAGCAGCAACTAACAATTTCTCTCCTTTTTAATGCTTTTTGTAAGAAATTAACAACAGCAGCAAATGTCTCAAATCCATCAACAGCAAATTCTTTTAAACGAAGACGCGGCGCTTCGCCTACAGCCGTTAAATGGACACGAACTGCGTATACACCCCAAAACCCTAAACCCTAAACCCTAAACCCTAAACCCTAAACCCTTGAAAAAAAAAAAATTATCGTACTTAAAGAAATACAATAATAACCTCTAAACCCTCATCAGATAACACAATACACAAACCCTAAACACTAAACCCTAATACTTAAACCCTAACTTTTATGAAACCGCTCTATTCCTCAAACCCTAAACCCTAAACCCTAAACCCTAAACCCTCACCTTTGAAGTCTCTTAGAGATCGCAGATGTGTCTCAACATTCCACGAAGGCCCCATCTCTGGCACCCAAACACTTTGCTGCTGCTGCTGCTGCTGCTGCTGTTGCTGCTGCTGCTGATGCTGATGCTGCGCCTCTAGGGCATCACTTGCAAGCTTCTCTGCCTCGTCAATAGCCTGCAGCAGCCGCTGCTGCTGCTGCTGCTGCTGCTGCGCCTCCCATAAGCTGCTGCTGCTGCTGTCGCATTCAGAATTGTCATCCTTAGATCTGCTGCTGCAGTTGCTGCTGCTCATGTTGTTCTTGCTGCTGCTCCTGCTGCTCATGGGGTTCTTGCTGCTGCTCCTGCTGCTGAGCTTCTTGCTGATGCTCCCTCTGCTGCAGCTCCTGCTGCTACTACGATCTTTGTTGCTGCTGCTGCTGCTGCAGTTCCTGCTGCAGCTCCTGCTGTTGCCCCTGCTGCAGCTCCTGCTGCTGCAGTGTTCCTTTAAAGGAATATTTTTGTTGTTGCTGCTGCTTCTGCTGCGGGGGCGTCCCCGTGAAGGATCGCTGCTGCTGCTGCCGCCGCTGCTGCTGCTGCCGCCGCTGCTGCTGCTGCCGCCGCTGCTGCCGCCGCCGCTGCTGCTGCTGCTGTCGCTGCTGCTAGCAGGGTAGGGAATATCCGGCCTTTTACTGCTGCTGCTTCTCCTGCTGCCATTGCTTCTAGGCGTGTACATTCTAGGCGAATTGGTGTTGTTGCTGCTGCTGCTGCTCCTCCTGCTGCTGCTCCTGCTGCTGCTCCTGCTGCTGCTTCTGCTGCTGCTCCTACGTTTGCTGGTGGTGCTGCTGCACCTGCTGTTGCTACTGCCTAGGAACAAAACATTTCTTGGGCTGTCCTTGTTGATCGCTGCTGCTGCTGCTGCAGCTGCTGCTGCTCCCTCTGCTGCTGCTGGAGGTAGCCCTGTCGCGCCTGCTGCAGTGACATCAGCAGCAACATCTGCAGCAGGTGCTGCTACATCAGCAGCAGGTGCTGCTACATCAGCAGCAGGTGCTGCTAAAGCAGCAGCAGGTGCTGGTACAGCAGCAGCTGCTGCTGCTCCTGGGGGACTGTTGGCGCGCAGAGACATCGCTGCATGCTGCTACCGTAGCATTTCTTCCTAACTATGCTGTTTGTGCTGCTGCTGCTGTTGCTGCTGCTGTTGCTGCTGCTGCTCTTTCTGTCTTCATTAGACAACAAACAGCAACGGGAAGACTAGTAGAATCGGCAGCAGCAGCAGCAGCAATGACAGCAGCAGCACCAACGTGGAGACCTCAACGATAGCGGCTATAATTGTCATGCTTCTGCTGCAGGTGCGGCAGCAGTTTTGCTGCTGCTGCTGCTGCTGGTCTCCACCGGTGCTGCTGCTGCTGCTGCTATGTGTTCTCTTGCTGCTGCAGTTTCTGACGACTTGTCTTCCTTCAGGATGTCTATGAGCAAGTTATCTACTGTTGCTCCTACTGCTGCTATTGTGCTGCAGCTCCTGTTTCCAGTGCTGCTGCTGCTGCTGCTGTTGCTGCGCTGCATGCATGTTAACATCGCCTAGATAAGAGTCGCGTTTATTGTCATTTTGTTAGTAGTTAATTCTTAAAGGCTTTATTTATTCTTGTCCCCTGCTGCTGCTGTTGCTGCTGTTGCTGCTGTTGCAGCAGCGGAGCGCTGCATGCGCCGCCGACAGCAGCAGTACCAGTAGCAGCAGCAGCAGCATAACCGCTGCTACAGAAGGCAGCAGCAGCAGCAGCAGCAGCTCTGCAGCAAGAGGCGGCGATCATCGGAAGCATCCCTGCCTTTTTTGTTATTATTTTTGTTATATTTCGTCACTGCAGCAGCAGCATTGGCAGCAACGGCAGCAGCAGCAGGAGGAGCAACACTGCAGCAGCAGCAACAGCTAGAGGGGGACGCAGCAGCAGCAGCAGCAGCAGCAGCAGCAGCAGCGGAGTAGGTAGGGGGGACCTCCTTTGGTTGTAGTTCCTCATAAAGGCATTCAGAAGCAATTTCTCCTGGTGCAGCAACAGCAGCAGCAGCAGCAGCAGCAGCAGTACAGCAGCAGCAGTAGCAGCAGCAGCAGCATTACCTGCAACACGCAGCAGCAAAGATGGCGAACAGCAGCAGCGGCACTCGGGTTATTCTTCGTGTGTATGACATCAGCAGAGGCCTGTGAGTGTTTACCATTATCTAGGGTTTAGGGTTTAGGGTTTAGGGTTTAGCTTCTAAACCCTTGCCAGCTCAAAACCGCTTACGTATAATCACGGCGATAGCAGCCGTCGCAGTGTTTATATTTATTCATTTAACCTCCTAGAGTTTAGAGTTTATTATTTAGGGTTTAGGGTTTAGGGTTTAGGGTTTAGGGTTTAGGGTTTAGGGTTTAGGGTTTGTGGGGTTTAGGGCCTCTCGTTTAGCTCCCATGCTGCTCGGTCGACCACTTGAAGGAGTTTGGCACAGCGGAATTCAATTGGGTGATCTTGAATATTTCTATGGTAAATTAAGGGTTTAGGGTTTAGGGTTTAGGGTTTAGGGTTTAGGGTTTAGGAGTTGTACAGGGTATAAATAATGTTAATAAGTTTAATATTTCTTTTTTTTGCAATCTCCATCATTCCTCATGATCTGCTGCTTCTGCTGCACCAATAACAACAGCAACAACAACTCTTACCCCTGTTGCTGCTTCTTCTGCTTCTGCTGCTGCTGCTGCTGCTGCTGCTGCTGCTGCTGCTGCTGCTGCAGGAGGAGGAGTAGTCCGCATGCGTCCTTATGAGATAGAATCTATGTACGGTATGTCTCCAAATAAAATTGAGGAACTTGGTGTCACACATAAAACTAACCAAGAAATACAGACGTAAGCCTGCTCCTGCTGCTCCTGCTCCTGCTCCTGCTGCTGCTGCTGCTGCTGCTGCTGCTGCTGTTGGTGGTGGTGCTGCTGCTGCTGCTGTTGTTGTTTCTGTTGCATGGCACCTAGGGAACGGCTGTTGCTAGACTGTTGTTGTCGCTGCTGCTGCTGCTGTTGCTGTAGTTGCTTCGTTGCGTTGTTGCTACATTTAGTTGCTTATGCTGCTGTTGCTGCTGTTGCTGCTGCTGCTGTTGCTGCTGCTGCTGCTGCTGCTGCAGGTTTTTAACAAGTATTTCTCCTCGTTTTACGGCTGAGACTTATGATTTGCTGCACAACAACTGCAACCACTTCACACAAGGTCATACTTTTTACCTGCTGCTGCTGCTGCTGCTGCTGCTGCTGCTGCTGTTGCTGTTGCTGTTGCTGGTGTTGTTGCTGGTGTTGATGGTGTTGATGCTGCTGCTGCATCTCATGGTACTCCTGCAGCATTTGTGATTGTTGTTGCGCTGTTGCTGCTACTATTGCTGCTGCTGTTCCCTGTACCTCCTCCTCTTTGACCGCTGCTGCTGCTGTATTCATATTTGTACTGTTGCTGCTGCTGCTGCTTCTGCTGCTGCTGCTGCTGCTGCTGCTGCTGCAGAGTTTTGCCGTTTTTTATTGGGTCGGGATATTCCTGATTATATAGTGCAGCAAGTAGAGAGGATAGCAGAGACACCTGTTGGTCGTATGCTGCTGCCGATGCTGCAGCAGCAGCAGCAGCAAGTGCAGCAAGCAGCCTTAGCATCTGGTCAAACAACTTTATGGACAGCAGCGCAGTTTGCTGGCAATCAGCAGCAGCAGCAGCAGCAACAGCAGCAGCAGCAGCAGCAGCAGCAGCAAGAATGGCCTGCAGCAACAACTCCCTTTACGGATATGCTACGACGTACATGTACAGCAGCAGATATAAACAGCAGCAGCAAATTATTATTTTTATTAACAATAAAAACAATAATAAATAATATAAATAAAAATAAAAAAGAACTGCAGCAAAAGCATTTGCTGCTCAGCAGCAGCAACGAGATACTGCAGCAAAAGGTACTACGCATGCCTACAGGGAAGGAGGCACTTAAGCTTATTGGATTCGATGTCACACCAGCAGCAGCAGCAGCAGCAGCAGCAGCAGCAGCAAATGGAACAACAGCAGCAAATGGAACAACAGCAGCAAATGGAACAGCAGCAGCAGCAGCAAATGGAACAGCAGCAGCAGCAGCAGCAGCAGCAGCAGCAGAGGAGCAGTACCGTTTCTCTCTTTATGATACACAAGAAGAAGAAGTTGTTAGGCAGCAACTGCAGCAGCACATAAAAGATATTGATGCATTTATTGCTGTACTCTCTCCTCCATCTAGTTCAGCAGCAGCAGCAGCAGCAGCAGGAGCAGCAGCAAGACCTGCTGCTCCTGCAGCAGCAGGAGCTCCTGCCATAGCAGCAGCACTCTCGGCAGCACAGCAGCAGCAGCAGCAGCAGCAGCAGCAGCAGCCTGAGCAGCAATTTCGATTTCAGCTGCAGCAACTTGAGGCTATGGGATTCACAGACAGACAAAGAAATCTCTCGTAAGTGCTGCTGCTGCTGTTGCTGCTGCTGCTGCTGTTGTTGCTGCTGCTGTGGCTGCTGCTGCTCCTGTGGCTGCTTCTGCTGCTACTTTTGCTGTTAATGCTGCTATTGCTGCTTAGTGCATCTGCTGTTGTGCTGCATTTTTGCTTATTGATGCTTGTTCCCTAACTCCTGCTGCTGCTGTTGCTGCTGCTGCTTCTGCTGCTGCTGCTGCTGCTGCTGCTGCTACTGTTTGCTGCAGGGTGTTGGAGGCTGTGAAGGGAAATATAAATGCTGCGATTGATATGCTCATTGGCTAAACGATTCTTTTCTGCTGCTGCTGCTGCTGCTGCTGCTGCAACTGCTGCTGCAGCAGCAACTGCTGCAGCTTTTTCAGCGGTGGAGCATGCAAACACAATGTGGGAGTATGAAGTAGCAGCTGCTGCTGCTGCTGTTGTTGTTGCTGCTGCTGCAGGGCTGCAGCAGCAGCAGCAGCTGTATTTTCCGTAGCAGTTGCAGCAACAGCAAAGCAGCTGCTGTTGCTGCAGCAATAGCTGCAGCTACTGCAACTGCAGCAGCTGCTAGTGCAGCAGCAAACAAATTTTTGCTTATAATATAATTGGTGACGGATGTGTGTCTTGCTGCTGCTGCTGCTGCTGCAGTATGATAGCTATAGTACAACAGCACCAACAACAGCAATAACTACAGTAGTAGAAATAGTAGCAGCAACAGTAGCAGCAGCAACAGCAGCAGCAACAGTAGCAGCAGCAACAGCAGCAGCAACAGTAGCAGCAGCAACAGCAGCAGCAACAGCAGCAGCAACAACAGCATGAGTAACAACAGACAATAAGCGCCATAGACGGAAAAGAGTTATACAATTGTGCTGCAGCAGCAACTGGTATAAAAGCTTAGCAGCAACTATTGCTGCTGCTGCTGCTGCTGCTGCTGCTGCGACTGTTTTTGCTGTTGTTGCTGCTGCTGCGGCATCCGGCGCAGCAGCAGTGCCTGAGAGGCATCTTGCTGCGGCTGTTGCTGCAGAGGCTGCTGCTGCAGCGTTTGCTGCTGTCGTGCCTGCTGCTGTTGCACTGTGTGTTGCTGCTGCAGCAGCTGCTGCTGCTGCAGCTGCAGCAGTGGATGCAGCAGCAGCTGCTGCTGCGCACCTGCGGAGAAAGTATTCGGCTGCAACATGAGCCATGGCTGCTGCTGCTGCAGCAAGTGCAGCTGCTGCTGCTGCTGCATCTGCTGCTGCTGTTGCTGCAGCAAGTGCAGTTGCTGCTGCTGCTGGAGCTCGTGCTGCGCCCCGTCACTGCCTGCTGCTGCTATATCGTGCTGCAGTCGCATCTGTAGCTGCTGTTTCTGCAGCAACATCTGCTGCTGCTGCAGTTGCTGCTGCAGCAACAGCAATTGCTGCTGGTGCAGCTGCTGACGCAGATTTAGCGGCAGCTGTTGCTGCTGCGCTGCAGCAAACCTCTGCTGCTGCTGTGCCGCAGCTGCTGCAACGCGCTGCTGCGCATCGGGCGCAGCTGCTGCTGCTGCAGCCGCTGCTGCTGCTGCTGCACGCTGTTGCTCTGCTACACTAGGGAGGAATGGCCCAAAGAAAGCACCCCCTCCTGTAGCAGCAGCAGCAGCTGCTGCTGCTGCCGCCGCTGCTGCTGCTGATGGGGGCTGCAGAAACGATGACGGTTGTTTCTGCAGCAATGCTGTGGATGACTGTCTCCTAAGAGCAGCAGCAGCAGCAGCGGCTGCTGCTGCTGCTGCTGCCGCGTCAGAGTTGTCCGGTACCCCTGTTGCTGCTGCTGCTGAAGGGAGCTGCTGGAAGATGCTGCTGCTGCTGCTGCTGCTGCTGTTATCGAGGCGTAGACGTTTGGAGGACAGCAAGTAGTTGCTGCTGCCGCTTGCTGCTGCCGCCGCTGCCGCTGCTGCTGCTGCTGCTGCAAGAGAAGGCGGCGAGCTGCTGCTGCATGCAGCCTCTGCAGATAAGTCTACATGCGCACGTAGTGCAGCAGCAGCATCAGCAGCAGCTTGAACAGCAGCAGCAACATCTAATGCTCCTGCTGCTGTTGCTGCTGCCTTCTTAAATTCGCATGCACGCTGCCATGCCCCCTCAAATCCATACAAACCTACACTAAAGGAATGAACTGTCCCGCTGCTGCTGCTGCTGCTGCTGCTGCTGCTGCTGGTGCTGGTGCTGCTGCTGCTGCTGCTGGTTGGAGCATCAGTTGCTGCTGATGTTTCAGAAGAGCCGCGAGTCGCTGCAGTTGCTGCTGCCCCGTCATCCTGCTTCTGCTGTTGTTGCTGCTGCTGGGACTTCTGCTGCTGTGTTTGTTCCTGTTGTTGCTGTTGCTGCTGCTGCTGTTGCTGTTGCTGCTGCTGCTGCGGCTCTAGACGCACTGTCCAAGCAGCAGCAGCAGCATCATAAACAATTCCCTTGACCTTTGGCAGTTGTGCAGCAAGCCAACTGAAGTGCATGTCTCTGTTTGCTGCTGCTGCTGCTGCTGTTGTTGTTGCTGCTGCTGTTGTTGCTGCTGCTGCTGTTGAGCCGCTGCCTCGCGAATGCTTCCTCTTTGCTGGTGTCTTTGCTGCTGCTCCTCCTGCTGCTGACAGCACAGACGGATCCGCTAAGGCTAATGCGTGCTGCTGTTGCTGCAGCTGTTGCTGTTGCTGCAACTGCTGCTGTTGCAGCTGCAGCTGTTGCTGCAGCTGATGGTGCTGCAGCAGCAGCGGGTTAGCCCGTGCTGCCTGGAAGCCAGCAGCTTCTGCTGCTGCGAATGGTGCATGCAGCTGCCGCTGCAGTTGCAATTGCTGCTGCTGCTGTTGCAGGTGCAACTGCTGCAGTTGTTGCTGTTGCTGCTGCGGTTGCGGCTGCGGTTGTGGCTGCGGCTGTTGCTGCTGCTGCTGCTGCTGCTGCTGCTGCTGCGGTTGCACTTGCTGCTGCTGCACATTCAATTGAACGTCAAAATTCCACAGCTCTGCAAAACCATCTGCAGCGCAGCAAACACAGCAGCAGCAGCAGCAGCAGCAGCAGCAGCAGCAGCAACAGGAACAGCATATTGGACACAATTAACTGCAGTAGCACCAGCAGCACCACAAGCAACAGGAGCAACAACAGGTGCAGCAGCAGCAGCAACAACAACAGCAGCAGCACAAGCAGCACTAGCGCCATAAACATCAGCAGCAGCACCACCACAACAACCACCACCATCAGCACCACCACCACCATCAGCAGCGTGAGCTGCAGCAGCAGCAGAGACAACAGCAGGAGCAGGAGCGACAGCAGCAGCAGCAGGAGCAACGTACTTTGTTGATTATTTGTATGAATAGGTGTTTGTTGTATTTGTTTAGTAAGAGCAGCAGCAATTAATAAATAAACAACAGGAGGTATCCCTAACTTTATACAAAAATCTTCCTCACGGGCCTCTAGTTGGACCTCATCTGTCTTGCTGCTGCTGCTGCTGCTGCTGCTGCTGCTGCTGCTGTTGCTGCTGTTGCTGCTGTTGATGGCGGTGGTTGTGGCGGTCGTGGGGGTGGGGTTGTTGTTTTTGTTGGTTGGTGATTCGCTGCTGCTGTCAGCAGCAGCAGATGGTAAATCGCGCTTCTCTTGCTGCTGCTGCTGCTGCTGCTGCTGCTGCTCTTGCTCCTTTGGTTCGCTGCTGCTGATGCTGCTGCTGCTGCTGTTGGGCTTGGATGCAGCAGCAGAAGAGTCGTCCGCTGCCGATGCTTCTGCATCCGCTGCTGTTGCTGCTGCTGTTGCTGCTGCAGGCTGTGCGTTGGCATCTCCTGCTGGTGCAGCTGTATCCCCTGCTGCTGCTGTCATGTCCGGTGCTGCTGCTGTTGCATCTGCTGCAGTTGCTGCTGCTGCTGCTGCTCCTGCTGCAGTCGAACCCTGTGGTGGCTTTGATAGCTTTGCTTCATCAGTCTGGCGCAGGTCTGCCTGCTGCTGCTGCTGCTGCTGCTGTACATGGTGCTGCAATTGCTGCTGTTGCTGCTGCTGTTGCTG